ATATAAAAATATTAAAACTGATCCACAAAAAGAGAGTTCGATATATTTTATTTATACAGATACAGGTATGATGAATAATCAAAAAAATCTTTTTACCTCATAGGTGGAATAGACTATTTCGGCCTACGATGGAAGTTGCCGTCTGTCTTTTCAACTCCAATGGGGGGATGGAGTTCATGCCCATAAACCTAGAGGAAACAGAAAGTAAGCGTTAACTGTAAGGAAGTGATATTAGAAGTCAAATGGTCAAGTGAAAATACCTAAAACAGAGTCGGCACTTTTCAATGTTTAAGTCAGACGATTGGCATCAGACAAGGGTCAGAGAATGGTAACTATCTATCTTAAAGAGGAGAATAAACATATATATATATACTGTTTTCAATGAGCAAATTTGGATAAGTCAGACAAAATTTGGCATTAACCATTACACCACACCGAGGGTGTAATTTATAAATTTTTATAAACAGTTAAAGAAATCTTAAATAGACCGAAACGTCCGACGTCGACTTTATTTTAACATTAATATATATTCAAATTTTATATTTATATATATTTATATCCATATATTTGCTATATATATGAAAATACAAAAAATTTACTTTATAACGTGGAAGATTTCAAGCTTGGACGAGAATAATAGAATCTATTGATCAAGTAAGGAATGGAATTTTTATCGAACTGTTTTTAGATATATATAAATATTTTATTTATTGTAACGGGAAGGACTTTAAGCTTGTTGAAGATATGAACCAATTGATCACTACGTATTCCAACATCAACGGAAGAGATTTCTTTAATTGTTTATAAAAAATTTCAATCGACTTTTTGATATTTTAATTTTGGAAAATCTTCGAATACGTCTTAACAAAACGTGACGACTCGTGATCATATTTAAACAGAACGCTGATCTGTATAAAATTTCAGTTATCTGTTTGAATTAGTTCTTTATGTCCATCGTATTTTTTATAATGTTAATTATTTAAATGAAAATGTCCATGAAGATGGTCTTAAATAGACCTAAACATCCGACGTCGCTTTATTTTAACATTAATAATGCATATTCAGAATATTTTTTTTATATATATATATATATATATATATATATATATATATATATATATATATATATATATATGTGTGTGTGTGTGTGTGTAAAATATATAGAAAATAGGAAAGAACTCGTTTAAATAATCCAAAGTTCTTTAGTATTTTTGTTATTGTTTTTTTGCTCAATACACCATATATAATATATATATATATATATATATATATATATATATATATATATGCATAGAAAATTAGAAGATTTTTTACATTTTTTTCCTCACCAGTAGAACGACTGTATTTCACACTATGAAATTTCATGCATGAAAGTCAGATGTGCTATTGGTGAGAAATAAATATATAATATATATATATATATATATATATATATATATATATATATATATATTGTAATGAGAACGAAAATAATATAAAAATCTAACATTCACATGCGGTTTGCTTACAAACAGAATTGTTCATAACCATTTCTCACCAGTCGAAGTGCAACTAAATAGCACCGAAACGAAGTTTCATCTTTGTAAATTAAATTTTTTTTGTCTATATGAAAAAATTATAATAAATGAATAAATATATATATGCGTGTTTTGTGCATATATATATATATATATATATATATATATATAGGCATATATATATATATATATATATATATATATATATATATATATATATATATATATATATATGGTAAAACATTGTTTTACGGGTATGCTATATTCATGGCTTAAAGTGCTCAATATCAGGGATAGGGGATATGTAAATATAAAATTCGACATTGAAGTCAACAGCCAGAGCTAACAGTCTGTTTCATGTTTAAATGGTTGCTTTATGACTAGAGAATACGACTGGACAATGCCACACCACACCATCAAGAGAACCAAGTCATGGCTGTCAGACAATTTCTGTGACCACATCACCCCTCACATCTGGCCACCTAACTCTGCAGACAGCAACCCCCTTGATTATTATGTGTGGGGCGCAGTTGAGCAAGAGAACAACAAAACTCTTTGTAATGCCAAAGATGAACTGAAGTCAAAGATTATGACAGCATTGACCAAATGAGACAGGGAGACCATCTAGAGGATTTGCAGGAGATTTCAAAGGAGTCTGTAGGCTGGGGTTGAAACCAATGGCAATTTTATTGAATAAATTTACTCTTTAGTATTTCAAGATATGTTTGGCAAATATATCTGTTAAAATGATATGCCAGTGTCATATTTTATTTTAGCCTCAATAGAAAGACAATTTATCCATCGCACCCTGTATATCTGTTAAAATCAGGTGTCAGTGTTATTTTCATTTTCGCCTCATTTGGATGACAATTTATCCATCGTACCCTCTATAGATACAATTGCGTATTTGTGGAGCAATCCCTCTTTTATACAAATTTCGTTAAAAACACCTGAGAAGAAAAATTATGAGAACACAAGAAAAA